GGAGCCCAATGCGGGGCTCGATCCCAGGACCCTGGGATCATGACCTGAGCCGAAGGCAGACACTTAACGACTGAGCCACTCAGGCGCCCCCGCCCTCTTTTTTTTTTTAAAGATTTTATTTATTCATTCAAGACACAGAGATAGAGAGAGAGAGCACGAGCAGGGGGAGAGGCAGAGGGAGAAGCAGGCTCCCCGCTGAGCCAGGAGCCAGACGCAGGGCTCGATCCCAGGACCCTGGGATCTGCCTTTGGGCAGACGCTTAACCATCTGAGCCACCCAGGCGCCCCTTTTTCTGGTTCTCCTTAACACTGACATGGTCCATCTTGTTGGCTATCGATACTTGTTAGTACTTGCTCTTAGAGAGCTGTGTTACTTACTTTAATTATTAGGATTTAGTACCATTCACTATACAGTTGAAAAACCAGTAAGTGTCATTAAGGGGTCATGTCACTTAGAAGCACTTCTCACATAGGGCATCAGACAAATGAGATGACCTACCTTGGTCTGGGTCTCAGCCTCCTCTTCAGTAACCAGGGCATCCATCCCCAAGCGCTGTCTTAACTCCTGGTTCTCAACTACAAGGCCATGGGTTTTCTCTCGCAAAAGCTGATTTTCTAGCAAAAGTTTTTGGTTCTGGAAGTAAGTTCAAGAAGAAGCTATTGAAACAACCAGTTCTTTCACTTAAGAATCTAGCTGATAAGTTTCACTACAGTTCTACAGTTGGTTTCCTTTCCTTCTCCTAGACCTTTTTTTTTTAAAGATCTTGTTTATTTATTTGACAGAGAGAGACACAGTGAGAGAGGGAACACAAGCAGGGGGAGTGGGAGAGGGAGACGGAGAAGCAGGCTTCCTGCCGAGCAGGGAGCCTGATGTGGGACTCAGTCCCAGGACCCTGGGATCATGACCTGAGCCAAAGGCAGACGCTTAACGACTGAGCCACCCAGGTGCCCGTTATCTCCTAGACCTTTTGAAAAATTCTGCTTATACAGTTGGTTCACAGTAGGTATTCAAAGGAAAGGTCATAGTTATGAAAAACAAGTGCCATGCCGTGGGGTCACAAATAACAATGCTTCCAACTACTAATATAGACCTCAGCAAAGGGTGACTTGTGGCTTTAATTTAGATATGATGGCAAAAAAAAAAAGTTCCTATCTTGAACTAGCAGGTTGTAACAGAAGTAATGGTGGACCATAAAATCAAAATATGTTTGTGTGTGTGTGTGTGTGTGTGTGTGTGTAAATATAGATATATATGAAATCCTTATGTATTTAAGATGTGTAGCTGGCAACAATTTAAGATTAGGTAGTAAGTGGGCCCTAGAAGGGGAAGGGAACCGTTAGTGGACTTTTGGCCAAGCCAGGAAGGGTCTCAGGTTTAAGCAATGATTTTCTATCTGCTTTTACAAATTTCTTAGTACTAACTCGATAAACGTTGTAATGTTGTAATTCACCAACTTTGAGATAGATCTAGCACCAAATGCCAGAGGGTCAACCACTTCTGCTCTCATCAAGTTTCACCACCTAATCACTTAACTACCTATCTACCCTAATTTAGATTCGTTTAACTTTTTTTTTAGCTTAACTTTTAATTAACTGTTCAGTTGTATTCTAAAGAGACAGGAACAACTTGAGATGGGCAGCAAACATCAGAACATTCACCAAGGAAGGATATACAAGAAATATAAGAGTTTGACTTTAAGTATTTTTACCTCTTCCTCCAAATCTACCACTTGCTGTTCCAGCTCACTCATTCGAGCTTTCTTTCGGTCTCTAGCAGTCTGGGCTGCGACTCTGTTTTTCAGTTTCCTGAGAAAAGGGACATACATACACTAAGTCATCTCAAACCTTATTTATATCTTTATTTGAGAACTTGGCCAGCTGGTGCTTTCATTTTCATTTACAGTATAAGGTAGACTAAGGTAAAATACACTCCAGGCTCCTCCCCTCAATAAAACAAAACAAAAAATAGAGCCTTTCCTGGATCTGGCTTGAATAACTGCTTTATTCTCTCCCATATTGCATCATCCACACCCCCATCGCATCGCGGCCACAGCAAGGACGCTGGACACAAATACTACTCATCTTGCATCATAAGAGATTTCCTCCTCCCATTTTTATTCCCCCCGTAGAACTCAAAGGAGAGGCCGATGCCTTTCGCCCTGGCTGACATCCTGGGCAGTCCCCGGAAGGCTGGGCCCGGCGTCTGCTCAAGGAGGCACTTAAGTCACAAAAGGCACCATGATCACAAAAGAACTAACATTTACGAGAACTGGGTACTAGGCGTTTCTCACTCAATCTTTCCAACGACCTCATGAATAGATACCATTTTTAAGGGCGCGGAGACTAAGTCTGACTAGTGAGCCTCACGGAGCTCACAGCCCTCTCGACAACTGTCATTTTGGCTCCATGACCCTCCAAAAAAAGTAGGTCAATCGAGTGCACGCCACTGCCCAAATTCAGAAAAGCTGAATGACAAGTCTATGGTCACAGAGCAAGAGGGCCTGGAACCCAAGTGCGCGAACACCCAGCTCTACGCATCTCTAATGAGACAGAAAAGAAGGGGGATTAACAAAGGCCCGGGCAGCCCGGAACTCCCGACTTCCTGCCCCGCCCCTCTCCACGCTGGCACCCCACCCGCCAGGCCCAGGGCGCCCGATCAGCGCCCGGCTTCGGATCCGGGTCCCAGCCCCTCGCCCTTCGCCCTCAGGGTCCGCGCCCCGACCCTCGCCCACCTCCGCAGCGCCTTCTCCTCGGGGCTCAGGTGCGTGAGGCGCTGTCGCTTGCGCGCCTGGGGTGGGCCCCCGCTCGCCGCCTCCGGGCTGGCCCCTCGTTGGCCCGGCACCATGAGTGGCAGAGCCCGGCCGGCCGGGGCTCCGGCGGCGGCGGCGGTGGCGGCGGCGGGCTTGCCGGACAAAAGCAGCACTTTGGGGGCCCCGGCGGCCGAGCTCTGCGCGGGTGCCACCACCACCATGGCCCAAGAGGGTCTACGCCAGACAGCGCCGCCGCCGTCCACCCGGCCGGCCCCACCGCACCCAGCCTTTCTACGGTCGTGGCCCTCCGTGATTGGCCAGCGCCGCGTGACGCGTGGCCGCTCTCGGAGCCCATTGGTCCGGCGGGCCCGGAGGGGGCGGGGCCGGGGCGTCCACCGTGGCTGCTGCGGTCCGGGGCTGGAGGGGTGGTGGTGGGGGGAGATTGGCGGGATCCCGGACTGGGGGCCCTGGAGGGCCTGGGCACTGCTCGGCTCCTCAAGAAGGGTCCGGAACCCGGCGGAGTTTCCTCCTCGGACAGATTTTACCCCATAGGCTGACGCATTTCCGAACGACTGAGTCTAATCCCAAACGAAGAGATTTCCAGACTGATGACTTTTTACCGAGACTGACAGATGGTTGTCACCTCTGCCTGACCACATTTTCCCTCGTGCGCCACATCGGGCCCCGAGCGGAGCGGAAAGTCGAGAGAGAGCGAGAGAGCGAGCAAGCCAGTCGGGCCTTGGATGAGAAAAAAGCCTGCAAAGAAATTCCGCGAAATAAGAGCTTTTAGGAAGTGAAATCGCACGTTTTAAAATTAGGCTTGGCTCTTAGTGAGGGTTTCATAAACCGAGGCGTTGTGATCTCCGAGTGGTAGGAATACATGTAATGTAATTTCAAGTTGCATTTCTAAATTGTCTGCTACGAGCATACTTTTTTCATTTCACGTGTTAAAACGAGGGTCCCGGGGTCTACCCTCAGCCCCCTGGCACGCGAGGCAGTTCGAGGCTCCTGCCCTGGCAGCTTGGGAGCAATTTAGGCACATGGATATTAGAATGGAGCAATCCGATGAGCCCCCCGCCCTACCCCCGCCTGTTCACATTTTTTGAAGCCAATTACAAAATGTGGAATTCCCTAGAATCACAAAGTGGTACTTTCTTTAACAAGTAGTTAGGGCTTCCTCTGTGCTTAGGTTCCAGGGACGCAAAGATTAGGAAAACTCCTATCTGGTGGTTGGAAATGGGCAAAAAGTGAAAAGACAGAATGGTTCTAGGTAATTTTTTAATGTCATTAAGTCACATTAGCTCTTCAATTATATTTTGGTGGGGAGGAAACAGGATGGGAAGAGGGAACTAAATCAACTCCGTCTCTTGATACACAGGCCCTTTGAAGGGGCACAATTTCTCTTATTTCCAGGAGTGGGCCATGAGTCTCCCACACGTACTTTCTTCCTCCGTGTTGGCAGAGCTAAATCAGTGACTATTGAAAACTGAGGGCGTCCTGAGCGCATGCTGCTTCAGCGGGCTGGAAAAGAGGTGGGGTGATCAGAGACTCCACCAGACAATGAAGCCAGCTTCCTTTCTAAGTTTCATCATCCTGGAGCTATCTGGGTCCTAATGTGCCTCCCCCGATGGGAGACTCACTCCTGGCCTCTGAGACCTTTGGGAGAAGTCTTTGGAGTGCCTTCTGGTTGAGACCTACACCTCTCTAGAAAGCTATCAGAGGTTCTGAGAAAAGCTAGGTAACTGTCGTGCAACCTTTTATTAAGTTACCATTTGTAAACAAGAGAATGTCTGCGCTTTGTAAGAAGGCCCAGTGAAGCTAAAATTTAAATCATGTAGGCATAAAAAGAAAATGCCATGAGGCCCCCGTTAGTCCAGCAGGGTGTTACATGAGTAACCATGTGGTGAAGGTACAAGATGCTGGGGCAGAGGAGAAAGGTGGATGGATTGCATTTTGGTGTTGGTTAATGAGGTAGAAATGGAATGTTGAAATTGACACCACCGGCTTTGTTTTCAAGGTTTTTATTGTTGATAAACATTTAAAATCATCCTCGGGGCGCCTGGGTGGCTCAGTTGGTTAAGCGACTGCCTTCGGCTCAGGTCATGATCCTGGAGTCCCGGGATCGAGTTCCACATCGGGCTCCCTGCT